TATTTATAGAAACAGACAAAAAAAAAAAAAAAAAACTACAAGTGCTTTAGCCTTGAAGTAATGAATGAATGAGCTAACCTTTCTGCATCTTGAGAATGTGCTCTTTTGATGTGCCCAAAATGCAAACACCTGAACAGCTATAGCATATTTTCAAGCTAACAAACACTCTTCGCAGCCTCATTTAGCAATACCCTAGCATAATAGGGGCAGGCTTTTAGGCAACAATCACTCACATTTTCTGCAAATGTAAAAATCTACTTATTACACAAAATTAAAAAATAAATAAAAATAATTAGTACGTCTCCAGAGGCAAAACTTTACTTTTTCATTAAACTCTTGTTTCCCCACAGCAGTACACTTTTTCCTGTCTACCTTTAGCTAATAAAAACGTTGTAAGAACATTGTTTTGAAATGTTTCCACAACATTGAAATGTCTAGTGATTATAATGTTATTTAAAGGTTACAAAAATGTTTCTTGCAACATTCTACCAACTTTATTTTCACCCATAATATAACGTTTTTGGAATGTTTATTCGTAATATTCTAAGAACGTTAAAATGTCCAGTTTTCATGTCGTGATTAGAACGCTATTTAAAGGTTACAAAAAACATTTCTTAGAATGTTTATGTACAAAAGGACCTTCCGAGAATGTTGTTCTAAGAACATTTTCTCAGCGTTGTGAGAATGTTCATCAAGTACAAATAACATTCCCTGTTAGCTGGGCATGTGCCATCAAATGTCTCTCAGCCAATCACACCAATATCAAACGAAATGCTCTATGTTTCTCAAACTGCTTCTGTTGTGAATCATTGCAATAATGGCCATTTGGAGGAGTACTTGAGCCTTACTGATGGGTCTGATGAGAAAAGCTGCTTTGCATGTCTCTATTTACTGCAAGAGCGCACTATTTTTCAATGCAGTAGAATTAGTATACACTGTGGTTTATGTACATCACATCGTAGTATTGAGGATGAGGGAGTCGCTCCCCTCTGACAGCTGAACCACCAGAGTATTGTTTGCAAACCATTTGCAAGTTCAGTAGTGATGTTGTTGCCAGGCAACCGGCATTCAGCATGTATAGGTGGAGATCTCTTCATGGATGCAGTGGCTGAAATGCACTCGTAGGGAACAGCTGAGGAAAATCCTGCAGCAAGGAGCACCTGTACTCTGAAAGTTCACTCTTAGAGCCAGCAAATGCATGTCAATCTGATAAATAAGCTGAGGTGCATGTCAGAGACTCCATCCTCTGGGTGTTTGCTGGATCTATATGTGAAGAGGCTGAAGCTGATGCAGTGAGGGTGGATCTGGAGCTGACCTGGTTTCCTTATCAAAGAGGCTGAA